TTAAACATTTTTATTCTTTAAAATACAATCATCCAAAAATTTAATTATTTCTTCGTATTTTTATTGCTGTTCTATAATCATTTATATAAATGCTTACTATAATACTTTTGCTTAAATAAAATGAGAGTTTAATCTACCTTTTTCATAGTAAAATAATTTGTTATAAGGATTCTATTCTATTGCTTTTTACCAAATATTTATAATTTAACTTTCTTTGCCTTGTCTTTTTAATGCAACAGCTAAATAGGAATTTTAATACTTTTATATAAATAGAAGTGAAGATTATTTAAGTTTTGAGTAATTCCTTAATTCCAACATTTTATAACTTCCTCTAATTTGCCAAATTTTTCTCAATGTAAAAAGATGGTTTTGTTTAATAAAAGCTGAGCTAAAAAAATTGAAGAAAATATACCTTTTTATAAATAGAAATAAATATCATTTTAGTTGAGATTTATCAGATCCTCCCAATATTTAATGATTTCATCTTACTTCAATTAAGTTTATAAGACATTTGCTAAAAATTTTTAATAAATAAAATCTTTTTCAAAGTAATAAGCCTTTTAATTAGCATTCCAATTATTGATTAATTCCTCTAATATACCATGTTTTTAAATTTGTTATTTTTTTTTTCTAAAAGTTTTGCTAAACAAAAATAATAAATATATTATTACATTTGTTCTTGTAAAATCCAAATTTATTTTTATTTGATTCAATCCCTTGATCCCAACAATTGATTGCTTCTTCTAATCTATATGTACTTTCTAAGTGTAAACCTAATGATAAGGAAATAGAAAATCACTTTTTTCTATATAAAAAGAAATCTTTGAAGGATTATTACTTATCCCAAAATTTCACAAATCCATATTTCCTAAAATCTATCCTTTTATACTAAAAAAAATGAATATAATTGTTTCTATTTAATGAAATTTAAGTACTTAATATTTACCATAAAAATCTATAGCTTTATCTTCTTTACCTTCTAATTTTAGTGATTCAACTTAAACTAAAAAATTCCACTTGTTTTTTATAAATTCTTTTTTGAGAGGCAATGGTTTATTGGCTTTCTTAGATTGCCAAAAAATCATTTAAAAATTATAAAAGAAATTAATTATTAATTTATAAATTATATTAAACTAATTTATAATCAAATATATTAATAAAGCAGAATCGTAATAATATAATCAAAAGCTATAATCATTTTTATTTATAAAGTCAAGCATAACAAACCCCAAAATTATCATTAAAATAAACTTATAATATTATCTC